CAACGAAAAAAAAAAAAAAAAAAAGGCGATACATCGAAACCGTATCATCCTCAAACCATCAGATTCAGAATCAGAAAGGGAGGAAACACAAACCTATGCAGCAAGGCTTCATCGGAGCCAGCAGCGAGCAACATACGATCAACAGCAGCATCACGCCGATCGGCCAAGCGTTTCAACTCATCCTGGACAGAAACATGGAAGAGCTGCCTATAATTCTGCAAAACTCTAGTCAGATGCTTGCCGACGGAAGACCTCGGGTTCAAAGGAGTATTAAAACTGCCTAACTCGCAGTGACTGGATCCGGCACTGGCTAGAACAGCCAAAGACCGGGGCCTAGCAGTAAGCGGTGGCTTCCAGAAGGAGAAACCAGCAAGGAATCCGGGAGCGAAATCGGAGCGATTGGAGTTGAATTTAGGAGTAGAAGGAAGAGAAATGTGGAGAGAGAGAGAATGGTCCATTCAACAGGAATGTTGAAGCTCTGCAACCAAAGGGAAAGCTATGGGAGAGAGGGAGAATAAAATGGTTTAGGGAAGAAGGTGGAAAAGTTAGAATACGGAAGGGTTCATCGGGAGTTTGAATATAAAAATATATATATTTATTTTAATTGGAAAAAAATTTCGAATATTTTGTCAGATAACTTATCTTATCATTATCATCTTATCTTATCGGCTTTGAGAGGGGCCCACGCCAGTGGTGGACTGATCGCTTGGTTGGATTATAAAATTATAATTTTAAGAGTTTATATATTTAAATGAAAAATAAAAAAGAGGAGATTTGAAATATATTTTTATTTTACATTTGATATTTTATAATTTGATTAACTAAATTTTATTTCAATATATTTTCAAAAAATGTGTATAATTGCAAATAAAGTAAATTATCAAGTGAGTAGATTTATTATCCGTGAACAACAAAGATTAAAATATCGAGCTAACCAACATATTATTGGACAATCGACGCTACCAACACCACCAAAATCAACCCTTAAAAAGTTGATGTGTCGATAGTTCGTGCTGGTTGTAATCCAAAATCAACGTTGAGTAATCAATGATCATCTGTACCTGTTAGCTTGAATATGGTTAGTTTTGATTATATTAGTAGACACAATGAAAATATGAAATATACGAATGTAAACTAAATAAAAAATATAGCTAAACGGTCATTCAAATTATATAAAATCATCTATCTTATTCAAAGACTCACGACAAAGAAGATGAACAATCCATTGTGAATCACAGACTTCCACAATGGTATGAAGTCTGGTGGCCCTTGTTTGGAATCACGACTCTTGGTATGACATAAAGTTTGGTGGCCCTCGTTAGGAATCACTACTCTCCATAATGGTTTGTCCACTTTGAGCATAAGCTCTCATAGCTTTGCTTTAGGGTTTTGCAACATAACAATGGAGATAGTATTCTTCACTTATAAACTTATGATCTTCCATTAAATTAACCAACGTAGGACTCACTCCCACTAATCATCAACAGCCTGAAGATGTATTCTTTATTTATAAATTTATGATCGACCCGTTAATGAGCCGATCCCAACAATCTTCAACCCAAAGATTCGTAGGAACAAGATTGTAGCCCATGTGGCACTTGCTTGATCACTCAATGAAAAGAACTTTCATGGAAGATCAAAGAAAAACACCCATTTTCCAAAGAGCCGGCGGTGGGTACCACACTTGTATAGCCTTTGCCTTTGAACATTGAATTCAACCCAAGAAACAAAGAACAAAATCAAACCCAACTACATAAAATGGTTAATAATCAAAGCATAGCACTAAGTTTAAGCATCTGATTCTCAAAGGAAACTATTGGTATCCGGCAATGGCTTCCACTACTTCCAGGCTCATGAAGGCAGTTCGGTATGAAGCCTACGGCGGCGGATCGGCTGCTCTCAAGGTTCCTCTCCCTTCAAACTTGTTGCTCTTTACTCATTTTATATGACTTATATTCGATGAGCGTTGTTACTATTTCAAAGTTGATGGTTTGATCTCGACGTCCGATATCGTTTCTTCGTGCAGCATGTAGAAGTTCCGATTCCCGGACCCAAAGACGATGAGGTTTTGCTGAAAGTAGAAGCAGTTAGTCTGAATCCATTTGATTGGAAAATTCAGAAGGGAGTCGTCCGTCCCTTTCTTCCTCGAAACTTTCCTCATATTCCATGTTCGTTCTGAATTCTCGGTTTGGCTTTGAAGCTTAGTTTAGCGATGAATTATTTGATGAGACTGTCACAGTATGACTGACAATAAATTTGAAACAGGTACTGATGTGGCGGGAGAAGTTTTAGAGGTCGGATCACGGGTGAAGAGGTTAAAAGTTGGGGACAAAGTCGTGACGTTTCTTAACCATGCTGTAAGTATTCATTCACCCTTTTCCACGGTTAATCTTTGATAACCATGAGCAAGGAAATCATGACTTTGTTCGATAACAGTTCAAGCCCACCACTAGTAGATATTGTCTATTTTGGCTCGTTACCTATTGTCGTCAGTTTCACGGTTTTAAAATGTATCTGTTAGGGAGAGGTTTCCATACCTTTATAAAAAATGCTTCGTTCCTCTCTCTAACGGATGTGGGATCTCACAATCCACCTCATAGGGGCCCAACGTACTCGAGGGCATACCGCCTAGTGTCTGACTGTTACAAATGGTCAAGACACCGAGTGGTGTGCCAATGAGGAGGTTGGGCCCCCAAGAGAGATGAATTGTGAGATCCCGCGTCGATTGGAGAAGAGAACGAAACATTCCTTATGAGGGTGTGGAAACCTCTCCTTAACAAATGCGTTTTAAAATCGTGAAGCTGACGGCTATACGTAACGGGTCAAAGTAATGTCTGCTAGAGATAGGCTTGAGCTATTACGAATGGTACGAGAGCCAATGAACTTGAGCTCAAGAGTTGCATCTTTGATTCATATGCTATTGGAAGTGTTCATCTTTTTGTATGTATGACAATGACAGACCGGAGGTGGACTTGCTGAATATGTTGTAGCAAAGGAAGCTTCAACAGTTATTAGGCCGCCCGAAGTGACCGCAGCCGATGGCGCTGCTCTGCCTGTTGCGGCTTTAACAGCACACCAAGCTCTCACCCAAGCTGCTGGGATCAAGCTTGATGCAAACGGCCCTCAATTAAACATTCTCATCACAGCTGCCTCTGGCGGCGTCGGCCACTACGCCGTTCAGCTAGCAAAGCTAGGAAACACTCACGTGACCGCTACGTGTGGCGCTCGAAACATCGAGTTCGTGAAGAGCTTGGGCGCAGATGAGGTCATAGACTACAAGACCTCAGAAGGGGCAGCCTTGAAGAGTCCATCAGGCAAGAAGTATGATGCAGTGATCCATTGTGCCACAGGGATCCCATGGTCCGTGTTCGAGCCTAATTTGAGCTCGAACGGTAAGGTGGTCGACATAACCCCGGCAAACGTGTCAACGGTGATGACTTTCGCCATTAAGAAACTTACCTTCTCTAAGAAGAAGCTGGTGCCTATGTGGTCGATGTCTTTCAAGAATGAAAATTTAGAGTATGTTATGAATTTGACTAAGGAAGGGAAGGTGAAGAGTATGATTGATTCAAGGTACGCTTTGAGCAAGGCTGAGGAGGCTTGGGCAAAGAGCGTGGATGGCCATGCCACCGGCAAAATTATTGTGGAGCCATAGTGGTGTATGTTCGACGTATAAAAATATTTTACTGTGGGAAATCTATTCTCGTGAATTTTTCATGAAGAATCCACGCCTAAAATTGTCACTCCCAGCCCAATAACATCTACCGTCTTAAGTACATATCGTTATCGATTCCAAATCATCCTTGTTCGTGGTTAGGAATTAGTGAATAGAGATGTCCGCAGTCTCCATCCTATCTTCTATTTAATTCTCTATCTGCAAAATTTTCTATTTATTTTTATCCAGATCTAAATAGAAATCCCCTAAAAAAAAATTATAGGATCCTGTTGGAATTTTTCACAATTTTTAATATATAATTTTAAAGAATAATTCATTTCAAATAAAATTTTAAAGATAATTTCCATTAAAAAGGTAAAATATAATATTTAACATAATTTTTTAAAAATATTTTCACCAATTACGTTAATATTTGTGTTAATTTATTAAGACGAAGCGAAGTCATTTAGGAAGAGATGCAAATATTTGTTTCTCTGAAATTATGAGAGTAAACGAACAATTTTCTTAGGTTATCTGTTGAGCACGTAGACCTTGGTTTCAATGGCGGTGGAGAATCCTCCACGTCTGCGAAACGCCGGCAAAGCAACGGCCACACATCACAAGAGTGATGCATTTTACAATTCGTATCGTATAATCTCTTGCAGACGCTTCAACCACTGTCCGCACTCTTTCATTCATCGACACTCCAGCGATGGCCGAGAATTTCATGTGCGCAGTTCAATACGATGCTTATGGCGGCGGACCTGCTGCTTTAAAGGTTTTTTCCGCTTCATATTTCCCTTTCTGCGTCTTCATCGCTCAAATCCTGTGGATTTCATCGAGTCTCTCTATTTATCCATTTACAATCCATTATGTAAATATGCTGTTTACAAAATTAATTTCTAGCCCTAAAATTTAGGGCTAACTGTCTATTTGATCCATTTTGAAGTTTGAGAAATGATTCTAAGTCCTTTGTCAATCCTTAAATGACTGAAGTGTTTGATTCGAAACTTTAGAGACTAAATCGATTATCGACACAAAATCTCATGGATCAAGAGTATATGTCATCATAATTTTTTAATAGAAGAAGTTAAAATTTGTGCAGCATAGTCAAGTTCCAGTTCCAAGTCCAGAGAAGGATGAAGTAATTGTAAAACTAGAGGCAGCAAGTATTAATCCTTTTGATTGGAAAGTCCAGAAAGGGATGCTAAGGCCATTTCTTCCCCGCAAATTCCCTTTTATTCCTGGTAAGAATTGTTTGAGATGATATCTACTGAACTGTGTTCTTATATGCTTTCATGTGTTGATATACGTTTCCCTTGTGGGATTTTAGGTACTGATGTGGCTGGAGAGGTAGTAGCTGTTGGGGTGGGAGTAAAGAAGTTCAGAGCTGGTGATAAAGTCTTAGCTATGATTAACCCCTTTGTGAGTTCTAATAATCTTTTACCATAAAAATGGAAGTTTAGAGACTAAAATAAGATTTAAATCTCGAGATTTTGTTATCATGGCAGAATGGAGGCGGGTTGGCTGAATTTTCGGCTGTAAAAGAGAGCATAACAGCCCTCAGACCACCAGAGGTCTCAGCTGCTGAAGCTGCAGGCTTACCCGTCGCTGGTCTAACCGCTCACCAAGCCCTCACACATCTCGATGAAGTCCCCGGACAGCAGCCAAACATTCTGGTTACTGCAGCCTCAGGCGGGGTCGGACACTATGCCGTTCAACTGGCGAAGCTTCAAAATGCTCATGTAACAGCAACGTGTGGGAGTCGTAACATTGAGCTCGTCCGAAAGTTAGGGGCCGATGAGGTTCTTGACTACACGACACCGGATGGTGCTGCTCTAAACAGCCCGTCGCAGCGAAAATACGATATTGTAGTACATTGTGCAACCGGGATACCGTGGTCGAGGTTCGAGCCTAATTTGAGTGCTACTGGGAAAGTGATAGATATTACCCCTGGAATTGGGACGTTGTTGACTTATGGTCTTCAGAAGGTGAGCTTCTCAAAGAAGAAGTTGGTGCCTTTGCTACTAAATCCTAAAGGAAAGGATTTGGAACATTTGGTTAAGTTAATGAAAGATGGGAAGCTCAAGACTGTGATTGACTCGAAGCATCCTTTGAGTGAGGCTCAAAGGGCTTGGGCTCGGAGTATCGAGGGTCATGCCACTGGAAAAATTATCGTCGAGCCTTAGGTTTAAAGGGTCAACCAGAGAAATAGCTCAAATTTGGCTGTCTATTATATTTTGGAAACATGGTTGAAACCATTTTTTTAAATGTACTGTAAATCAATTCATAAAAATGGTACTGTAAATCAATTCAAATTAAAAATTAAGATTGGTCTTGTGACTTGATAACTAGACCAATCTGAATATAACGCAATATAATAGCTCAAGTCTACCGATAGCAGATATTATTAATTTTGATTTGTTACGTATCGTTGTTAGCTTCCTAGTTTTAAAACGCGTCTATTAGGGAAAAAATTTTATATCCAGCTCCATTTTCTAGAGGTAAATTAGGTTAAATTTTTGAAAATTTGATTTAATTTATGAGTGGACTTTTTTTAGTTGGGTCAGCTCAAACCGTAATAGAAGCATGTCAAAATCTTAGCGCGCAAGAAAACGTGCCCCCATTTTTCTTCTCTATCCTCCCACGACCCTGATTCTTGGCGCAACCATGGGCGGCGATACTGTTCCTCTTTCTACTCCTTCCATCCTTCACGATCATCTCTGTTCGTATTTTCAGTTTTCTGTTCTTTTGATCGAAGAAATTGGGGTTCAGTTTCCATGTTTCTTCATCAAGTTCTTCTTGCTTATTTAATTTCTATCCGAAGTAATTTTGCGACACAGCTTTAATTTAATACCCAATTGCAGATGGGGGTTCTTCTCTCGAGCATGATCAGTCGCAAATTGCTACTCAACTGCCCACTCTCAGGTATACGTTTCGATTGCTCTGTTCCATGTTCTCTGAATCACTCCCTTTCCAGTTAAAACCCAATTAATTTTATGATGTTGCTCATTATGGGTATTGTTCTTGATGAGAAAGGGGTAACAACAGTAACTTGAGCATGCAAACTAAGTATGATGAAGCGGATATGGAAAATGGAGTAATCATGGGAGAATTTGATGCGACTGAATCTCAATTTTCTTCATCTGCTTTGAATGTTGAAATATATCGGAGGAGGATAAATAATGTACATAGAGAGATCTTGGAGAGCTCTGATCAATTACGGATTCGTAGTGAGAATTTGAATCAGGCTAAGAGAAAAATTTTGAGGTATCTCTATTACTTTTGACATGTTTTTATTTCTGAAGATCTAACATCTCATGAAGGAGAAAGGAATTTATTGTCCCTAGTAGTGCCCAAATTGCGGTGTGAACTCCTTGTTTGAGTTGTAGATGAACTAATTAAAGTTGATGATGGTTCATGAGTATTATATCTCTTATTATTTTCAAGAATGCTGCTAAATTTTGCTCATATTGACATGCTAGCCTCTATTTGGCAGCTATTCTCCTGGATCATGGATTGAGCAGGTAGGTGGAATGAAATTATCTGACTATGATATCCCACAAACAATGTCGCTTATATTGATTGGTCCGAAAGGATCTGGTAAAAGTAGTCTTATAAATAGGATCTCCAAGGTGTTTGACGAGGACCGTTTTGCGCCCGAAAGAGCTCAAGTATCATGTATTGCTTTGAATTCATTTGAGGCTGTTCTCTAAATGAAAATAGGAGTTGCTTATTTGAACTTAAAAATTGTTGTATCTTTTCGGTGTAGGTAATTCATCTGGTGAAGATGGAACTTTTTTCCTTCAAGAATATATGATTATGAGAAAGTCGAAATCCTTTTGTTTATACGATACCCGTGGTCTATCTGATGACTCGTTTGAAAACATTGAAGTGTTGAAACAATGGATGACCAAGGGTGTTCACCATGGAGAACTTGTAGCAAGGTTGAAGTTTTAACATTGAGACCATAGCCCACTGTAGCAGATATTGTCCACTTTGACCTGTTACGTATCGTCATCAGCCTCACAGTATCTGTTAGGGAGAGATTTCCACACCCTTATAAGAAATGCTTCGTTCCCTCCTTGGACTAGAGCCAGACATTGGGTCGAGAGAACGAAGCATTCCTTATAAGAGTGTGGAGACCTCTCCCTAGTAAACGCGTTTTGAAACCGTGAGGCTTACGACGATACATAACGGGCCAAAGCGAACAATATTTGCTAGCAGTGGGCTTGGACCATTACATCTTCCGTTAGTTTTAAATTCAATTGTGACTCACTTCTTCATGTGTGTAAATTACTTTCCAGGAAATCTGATGCTTCAAGTTTAATAAATAGAATGAGGTGTAAAGCTCGCCAACGCTTCCCGCTTTCTAGGGCGGTCAGAATGATTAATTTTGTCATGTTCGTCGTTGATGGGCTTTCAGTTCTTAAATCAATGGATGGCGATGACATAGAGAAAGATTATGAAAGAGTGATTACTACTGCGTTCAATTGCCCTTATTTATCATATGGAGGTGAAGTTATCCCACTCATCATTAGTTATAATATCATGTTTATGAGAGTAACAGGAAGATTATTATCATTATTTATTTTTTTAAGATCACGTTCCTTAGGTTGCATGTTGTATGCCTTGATCATTTTTTTTCATGCTATTGAGAAATTAGAATTTCATTCTCTTTTTAATCACAGATGACAAACCAGTTGTTGTTATAACCCATGGAGATCTACTTTCCTTTGCGGACCGTGTTCGTGTACGTGCCCATTTGGGGAATTTATTAGGTATTCCATCGGCGAAACAAATATTTGACATCCCAGGTACCGTATACCATGTCCTAGATATCAATAGAATCGTTTATCCATTTTTTTTTCTCATAATCAATAATAGCAAACAACGGTAATCCAATGTGCTAGCAGATAGTTATGATCCAGTCACGGAGTTGACGATAATTGATATGTTACATTACTGTCTGGAGCATGCTGATAAAAACCTTTCTCCCAAGAGCTGGACGGTGTTCAAGGTTTCTTTCGCCTCGTGTTCTATCCGAAGTTTCATGTCTTTCATTTTGTTCTTTTTTAACATCAGAATATGCACGTGTATCAAACAATTCAGTATTTTGCTTCTCCAAGGGATCACTAATCAAAGTTGATTGCTCACTTGCAGGATCACCTGTCCTCCGTATCAGCGAATACATACTTTCTAACCATTATGGTGATTGTTATCATCTCGGCTTATCTGTATCAGGTATACGTTCATCATCCCGAGCAACAGGAGCCTAAGAACGTTTCGAAAGGTATGGAGATAGTTTGGCATGAGATTCGACATATGTGGTTAGATTGAAGAAGGGGGCAGTGTCTTGGAATTCAGAGGTTCTTTTGCTACAAATAATAGGTGGGTAAATGATATTGTCACCTAATTGTGCAGTGTGGAATAATGCTAAAACTGTTCATATTGTGATGATTTGTGGATCCTATTAGACAATGTACTGTCTTCTTATATATGAGGTAAAAGTGAGAAAATATTGTGATGATCTTGCCCAAAAGATGAGGAATGATAGGAATACATAATGGTTTCATGGATATACATCCTAGTAAAGAAATTGCACCAAAACTGGCCATGAAATCTGTTGGAAAGCTGCCACTCCTGGGCTCCTGACCAACAAAATCAAGTATAAACGGTATCCTTTTTGGATCCCTTTGGTCTAAAACGGCTAAATATAATATGAATGGGAGGATGACCTGACCCATAAACTATACCTTCCAGCCAAATGTGTATGGCGCTATTGATCAAGTTGTGCAAAACTTCTGTGTTGTGAAGGGGTCTTAGGCATAATCATAAGCTTGTCCTTACAGTTCTCCGATGGTAGTTTTGGGAATGCTCTGCAAGAACATGGCTCTTGCAGCTGCATCTGATGAAAACCGACCGAGCGCAGCAATTGTAGCTGTCGTGCAACCGAACTTCTCAATTCCTCTTGAGATCATACAGGTATGACTTGCCTCAACAACAACTACGACGTCTGCTCCTAATAATGATGAGACTGTCTCTGCTATCTGCCTGGTCATTCTCTCCTGAACTTGAAGCTTGAAACCATAGAAATGTATTACTGAGTTTAGAAGTGATTTCTCAAGGTGAGTGACTCCATCAGCTCTTAAGAATCCTATATGCACGACGCCATAAAAGGGAAGTAAGTGGTGCTCGCATTGAGACCAGAACGAGAAATTCATCTCTGATTGAATCTTTTTCTCGGAGAGGTTACCGTTCTCGTTGTGTTCGAAATGAGTTCTACCATTAGCAAAGCCATTGAGCTTCTTCATATCCATCTTCATTTCCACATTACAGTTTTGGAAGTTCATTAGCCAGTTGACAAAGTGACCAGGTGTTCCAAGAAGCTCTTCCCTTGAAGGGTCTTCACCTAACGACCTCAAAATTGATGTCGCTGCAGTGGTCATTCTCGGGTTTAATGACTCGATTTTGGTTGAGAATTTAGAAGCTGAAGGAAAATGAGATGGGCACCAAAGTTGAGAATTTGAATCTGGTGCACCAGCTTTGCTTAGATCTATGCCTCTAAATTTTAAAAGACTGAAGAAGTCCATCCAGGCATCAGCATCTTGGTTTTCGAAAGCTCCCAAACCAGATTGAACCTGCGCTTTGACCCATCCTGAGGATTTCGAGTCGAGAAAGACCGACTCCAAGCTCGGGAAATGAATGTGCAAACAATGAAGTACAACAGCAACACCTCCTGGGTTGATACCATGGTGCAGAGCTGAACAAATTTGATCAGCCAGACGTTGAGGGTTTTGAAGTCGCTTTGCATACACGTCTGCGACTCGAGAGAGCTTGCTCAGCCCTACAACTTGCTGACCAGATGGAACATAACCCACATGACATTTCACTTGAAATGGAAGCAGACATGACTCACAATATGAGAAGAAGTCAAGATCTCGAACAATCACAATCCCACCTGCACCTCCAGCTTGACCAAGACCATTATGCAGTCCAGCTTCGGGGAATAAAGCACTTTCAATAATGTCCTTCGCTGTTTGTCCATACCCTGAAATAGAATTATGTATATGCATGAAGAGATGATAATGTTCATTTTACATCAGAATTCATATGTTTCCAAGCAATTTCTTCATCTTATCCTTTCCTTCCTTTTGTTTCCTTAAAGTTGTCGACTATGATTATCTGATTCTACAAGTTCTTTAGTCACACATAGCATGAAGAACAAATTCAATGCAGTAAAAGAGAGACAAAATAAGGACAAAAAATTCTCTTAATTCTCAAAAACCAATACCACCATAATCTCAGTACAAATTCTGAAATAGACAATGCATCAAGATGAAGAACCTGGTGTTCCCATGTCCAACTATGCACAAAAACAAAAACAAAAACAAAAACAGAACAAGAACAAAGAACAAGAAGAAAAACAGAACAGGAACAAGAACAAACACAAAAACAAAGATGGATGGAAGCTTGATTAATGTATTGTAGCAACTAGAGGTGGTAGAGGATTCCAGTTCTGTTTTCCAGTATAAAAACATACACATTATCAAGCCAAGAGACTTTTCTCCAAAAACATTTCAACACGACAAATCTTTTACATAATGTTTTAAGAAACTGGAAGCTGGGAAAGATGGGGGATGGAGGCTTGAACGGTCTTAGAAGCCTGAAATTAGAGGAAACTCTGCCCATGACATACTTGCATAATACTAAAGTTCCTCATAAGAAAACTGTAATAGTTTTCATTTGTCTCAAGTTTTTGGAATCTTTAAGGTATTTAGCAGTTAGCTGCTAAGAACAGCTTTTAGAAACAAGTACTAAGAACTAATAAGAACAAGAGAACAGTGAGCTATATATGCTTCCATAAAAACATTTTGAAAGACATCCAAACTCACCTAACCACACATGCACAATTAATAGTGACAGTTCTTTATAAACAAATGCCTTTATGAGGCTTATTCTACTAAAATAAGGCAACTCTCACCTCTTGTTCCTTCTCTAAGAGCCTTGGCTACACGGAGGGGGGTCTTTCTGATGCCCTCTCTATTGATATCTTCCCCTAAACCCTGCAACAAAACTTTCACGGCATCCATGATAGCAATAGTTTCAGGTTCATCCTCAACCCCGCTATGTTTCGCTCCATTCTCGACCTTCAAATCCGAAAGCTCTTCACCAGAAGCGGCCATTGTCGGATTTCAAAACTCCCGAATCCCAAAGAGAGGGGGGAAATAAACAATACCAAACTTCAAAAACCGTCCACACCCAGATCAAATCAGGGGTACATGGAAAGATTCGTGACACATACGGGAAACCCCACTCATCGAATCAAGAGATTTGATGAACTCCACTTGGGCCTCAACGAAATATTGCTATATTTGTGAAAACAAGGCTACAAATCAAATGAGCATGAGAAATACAATGCACCCAGATAAGGAAATCGCGACAGAGACAGAAAACAAGCCCTAATAAGCAAGTAGAAGAAATGAAAAGGGAACGAATGGGTAGTGTAAGGACTTGTGTTAGGGAAATTGTAAGAAACAAATGGCACCACAGTTCATAGGGATAATCTTGTAGTTGGGAAATGGGTATAGAGAATGGGAATGCTGGATCAATGGCGCCACATAGAATGAAGTTATAGGATTGAGGAAAGGTTGCGGCAGGGATCGGTGAAAGGTGTGCTGAATCTGAATGGTTTGAAGGATGAGATGGGCCACTGGGGTTTTTGCTTTTTTTTGGATCTCAGACTTGAAAAAATCATACACCAACCACCCATTGTTGGAGGATTAAATCTTTCCACTTTATCATTATGGTCTATTTTCTTTGACAATAAGTCACAACCTAAATTAACATGATTAAGTTGGATATTTATTAACACTTCAATTTTCAACCATAGGGTGACAATGTTTTTCGAGTAACACAACGTTGTTACATTTTGAATGAGGTTAAATAAGACAAAATATGAGTTCAATATCAAGTAAATGTTAATTTTTTACACTAATTCGATAAAGAAGTGATAACTTAATTTAACATTACGACTTCTAAGGGAAGAAATACACATGAATGAATTATGACTATTTATGAAATAGAGGGATCTCGAGAATATGCAAGTATAATTAAGAAAGTTTAAACAAAAAAAATTACTTTTCTTTTAAATGACCTAATCATAAAAACTTGAAAGTTATCTAAATTGATCATATATATTAGATGACCTTACATAAAAAATTCCTATTATTTATATGGTTATGTGAGATCTGGCAGTGTGGTTAGACAGGAGAACTAAATATTTTTTAAAAGGGTGTAGAAACTTAACAATAATAGATATATTTTAAAACTGTAAGGTTAGCTACTATGTATAACAGACCGCAGAGAGTATCAGAGAATATCTATTAAGAGTGGATTTAGGCCATTACAAATCATAAATAGAGTCCCACGATGTCAATATGCTTGTAATATCAATGCTCCAAAAAAATAAAAAAAATTATAAAAAAAATAAAAGAAAAATGCTTTTAGCAGCCCCACCGTACGCTGACGGCTGACGACGGATACAGTGAGCAGTGAGCAGTGAGCAGAGAGCAGAGAGCAGAGAGCAGCCCAAATATCCACTGTCTAAAGAGATTTTGAAGAACCCAAGTTGCAGATTTCGAACTGTTATTGGCAGATCAATGTGGTATGTTGAAGAAGATAGACACAGAGAAGAGAGTATTCTGGAAAGCTGAGACGTAGCGGTGATTGGGGAGGAGTCTTACCGCCATTACCGCCATGGGTTATGCACATGGACGAGCACAATCGGTATTGTTTGAAGCTGAAAGACGAAGCTCCATTTCCTCGGTTCCGAGCCCTCAAACGAACCCTAACTCGCCGGGGAAGAAGAGGACACTGCGTTGGTCTGATGTGTGTGGCAGGACACCGAATCGCTTGAGAGTGTTATTGTTGCTATGCAACTTCAATCCTCGGTTAAAGACTCTCATATTCCCACATCCAACTCCAAAACCAACCCCCACTTAATCGCTAATTTCTGCAAAATCGACTGTACGCTGCTTCTTTCGGACGAGCTTCTTCTTAGGATCCTCACGAAATTACCGGATTCTCAGCGGAACTCCAACTTTCTTGTCTGCAAACGGTGGCTGAATCTGTAGGGTCGTATTGTACGGTCGCTCAGGGTAATGGATTTGAATTTTCTCTTGTCGGGTAGGTTGATTTTGAGGTTTCCAAATCTTAACCGTGTGGATTTAATCTCTGGATCTTTGATGTGTTTTAGAAATTCTGGTATCTTGTTGAGTAATAGCATTCATTCAATGCATGTTGATTCCTGATTTTTGCCTATTCCGGGTGTTGGTGAGGAAAATATTATTGACAATATGGAGATTGATAGAGGGCTGAAAGCATTGGCCGATGGCTGCCCAAATTTGCGCAAATTAGCTTTTATTGGTGGAAGTGAGTTGGGATTGTTGAGTGTGGCCGAGGAATGTGAGACCTTGCAAGAACTTGAATTGCACTAGTGTAATGATAATCTGCTGAGAGGAATTTGCTGCTTGTGAGAATTTACAAATTCTGAAATCTGAGTCCTTGTCCTGTTCTTGAGCGGTTGCATTTGCAGAACTGTCAACTACGGGATAAAAAGAGTGCTAAAGCATTGTTTATTACTGGTGGTGCTGTGAAGGAGATTTTCATCGGTGATTGCTGGGGACTGGCGGATGACTTATTCAGCTTTGCATGTCATTGCTGGAACTACTGGAGGAGTTCTGGCAATTTTTGGAATCTACTAAGGACACCAACTCGAACAAAAAGTGTCCCGCTTTCCTTTCCAAGTAAGTGGTACCTTGGATTTAGATATGCTCATAGTATATATGAAAGTATGATATGAGAAGTATGTCATAGAAATTTGAGCATGAAATGAGTTGGTTTGATTTGATGTATGTAAGAGTACATTAAACGTTATGATGCACGTTTATCGAAGAACGAACTGTTGAGTTATGATATGACTGAAATTGAGAGCATTCATATAAAACATGTTATGGGAACCCGATTATATATGTTTGAGCATAGAATGAGTTGAGATGACACATGTTGAATGTGATTATGTATGATAACTAAAATGCATACGCACTATCTTATGAAGTGAGATTCATGACTAGGTATCCATGTTTAGATCACTATGCTATGTCTCTATGTCATATGTTCACGATGTATGCGGTTATACGGGGACGATTAGGGGTTCGCCAACTAACCTCTAATCGTGAACCTGACTCAATTGTCAGGGGTTCGAATAATCATAGAACTGGCTTATGATATTTTATGCTTTATGATTGTACCGTGTGGGGACTACTGTGAAGTTTGCCAATGGACTACTGCGAAGTTTGCCAATTAGCTTCTTGTAGTGAGCCTGTCACGAGCGGTAGAGGTACATAGTTGTACCTTGGACCCCCAAGGGGGTGGATTGTATTGGAGAGGAGAATAACTCCCTAATAGATTCGCATGAAACCTCTCTCTAATAAACTCGCGTTTTAAACCGTGAGACTGACGGCGATGCGTAACGAGCCGAAGCGAACAATATCTATTAGTAGTGGACTTAGGCCAATATAGACTATGATGTGGCCTAATCTATGAACTCGAGCAATGCGAGCATATTGAAAAGTCTATGCTTTAAAAACTATGTTTCTAAATGGATATACTTCAAAGCATCGCCGAAGCGAACAATATCTATTAGTAGTGGACTTAGGCCAATATAGACTATGATGTGGCCTAATCTATGAACTCGAGCAATGCGAGCATATTGAAAAGTCTATGCTTTAAAAACTATGTTTCTAAATGGATATACTTCAAAGCATCGCCGAAGCGAACAATATCTATTAGTAGTGGACTTAGGCCAATATAGACTATGATGTGGCCTAATCTATGAACTCGAGCAATGCGAGCATATTGAAAAGTCTATGCTTTAAAAACTATGTTTCTAAATGGATATACTTCAAAGCATCGCCGAAGCGAACAATATCTATTAGTAGTGGACTTAGGCCAATATAGACTATGATGTGGCCTAATCTATGAACTCGAGCAATGCGAGCATATTGAAAAGTCTATGCTTTAAAAACTATGTTTCTAAATGGATATACTTCAAAGCATCGCCGAAGCGAACAATATCTATTAGTAGTGGACTTAGGCCAATATAGACTATGATGTGGCCTAATCTATGAACTCGAGCAATGCGAGCATATTGAAAAGTCTATGCTTTAAAAACTATGTTTCTAAATGGATATACTTCAAAGCATCGCCGAAGCGAACAATATCTATTAGTAGTGGACTTAGGCCAATATAGACTATGATGTGGCCTAATCTATGAACTCGAGCAATGCGAGCATATTGAAAAGTCTATGCTTTAAAAACTATGTTTCTAAATGGATATACTTCAAAGCATCGCCGAAGCGAACAATATCTATTAGTAGTGGACTTAGGCCAATATAGACTATGATGTGGCCTAATCTATGAACTCGAGCAATGCGAGCACATTGAAAAGTCTATGCTTTAAAAACTATGTTTCTAAATGGATATACTTCAAAGCAATTGAGTACGTTCCTTTATATTGCTTTGCCATCATAAAACTAAAGAAATCCGAAACTCCCAAGCAATGAAGATTAGTAGCTTCAATTATTCAGTCCAAAGTTCAAAAGTGAATGAAATATGCATACATATTCAGTTTTAACACACCATTATAAGATTAAGGAACAAAAAGTTCAAACGGATCTCCATGTCTGATACCGAAAATCCATGCCTGGTAGGAGCAAGGTTGGAACTTTGTTCGGCTCAAAATCAAACCAACCAGCTTGATCAATATAGTTTTGAATCAGCTCACCTCCAAAAGTTGTCACTGCCGACGTCCCAATTGCATCAGCTATGCATCCCCCAATGATATGAACATAGACAAGGCAATTTTCTGGCTTCTCAATGTAAGCTTTACCCACGCCAAGCAATCCAATACATAGAACAGAGACTATTGTGACTGTTGGAATCTTGAGAAATTTGTCCTCTGGCTTACGGAACGTGAAGCCATTAAAGGAGAGGGGGCACCAACCCAAATATCAGGAATGATAGGATAGCCACTGTCAAATGGAGGCGATGGTTTTTTCTATCTCCGAAGACTTGCTCATATCTATCCACTTCTTCCTCTCTTTGTTCATCAGGTCCACTTTCCTGGCCGTTTATCCAATGTTTTGATATCTGGAAATTGCTCATTGAATTCAGAACTATGGAAATAGGTATTGGTATTGGAAGAAGAGGAGAATGTAATTACTCACTCTATAGCTCATCACAAACAGTCCAATAATCAAGTTTGATAGTGAAAGAGCTACCGTTTTTCCTGCATCATGCAAAATATTATGCGTATCAATGATTCTTGATTTGATTGTTCTTAAGCACTATAGAAGAGATAATGTGAGATCCCACGTCGGTTGTGAAGGAGAACGAAGCATTCTTTATAAGAGTGTGGAAACTTCTCTCTAGCAGACGCATTTTAAAACTTTGAGGGGAAGTCCGAAAGGGAAAGCCGAAAGAGGACAATATTTGTTAGTGGTGGGCTTAGCCTGTTACAAATGAAATCAAAGTAGACATCGGACGATGTGCTAGTGAGGAGGCTGAACCCCGAAGGGGGTGGACACAAGGCGGTGTGTCAGCAAGGATGCTGGCCTCGAAGGGGGGGTGGATTGGGGGTCCCACATTGATTGGAGAAGGGAACGAGTGTCTAAAAGGAGTGGATTGTGAGATCGTATATAGGTTGGAGAGGAGAACGAAGCATTTTTTTATAAGGGTGTAGAAACGTCTTCCTATCATTTTTTATAAGAGTGTGAAAACCTCAAATCCAAAAAGAATAATATTTGCCGGTGGTGGATTAGGAATAAAATAAAGTTACCAGTGGTAGCACCGGTGCTGGCGGAAGATGTGACAATGCCTAAGCTTGCTATCAGTTCAGTTAAACCGCCATACAGCACACTTTTCACAATTTCGGTTCTAACTGAAGTTGCACTTTGTTGTTCTTTGATTTCCGGTTCAGTAACAATGAGTTCGTGTGGACTTGAAGCAACTAAAATTTCTTGACAAAGGACTTCTTGTTCACCATTATGAGTGTAAATGACTTCATTTGATTGTTCTTCAGCATTATCTTCCCCTAATTGTTCATATTTATGACCTTCACTCAACTGTTGATCGGTAGGATCTTCCCCTAACGGTTCATATTTATGATCTTCACTCAACTGTTGATCGGTAGGATCTTCCCCGAACGGTTCATATTTATGATCTTCACTCAACTGTTGATCGGTAGGATCTTCACTCAACAGCTAGGGCTTTCAATGGGGACAACAGAGGAGGAAAATAAGAGGTGGGAAGAACAATTTCCCCTCGGGATGGCCGGGAAAATGGAACCAGATTTCCTCAAGAAGAAACAAACGGTTGATTTTCTCTCAACAATCTCTTTGAGAAAGCCCGTGGAAGCAAAAGAAATAGAGGAAATTAATTACTGGGAAAACATTGCGGAAAGAAAGTACACAGAAGCAGAGCCGATCTTACAAATCCTTTCTTCAATTGAAACTCGGCTCAGTTGTTTGGACGGATTTATAGGTAACGCATCGGTGACCACTGTTAATTATCAATATACATATTATTTTATGTTGCTCAACATTTGTTGTATGCTATATAGAAATAAAAAAGCTGAAAATGGAAAGGTCTCTGCTGTTCCGCCTAAATCCAGAAAAGTTTTCATCATATGGTCGCTATGAAATTACATTTATGGTTGGTAAGGTTCCAGTATACTAAATTACAATATTATTATATATATCACATAATTACTGCTTTGATTCTCTTTATGATTTACAGGTAGATTGAGGTTGCGTGATCTCTCAACAGATTATTTTTGGCTACTGCAAGGGGGAGTAGAACGTTCCTGCATAGATATGATGGAAAAACTACGTATGCAATTTTTATTTTGGATCTTTGAAATTTACTTTTGTGAGGAACATCAACGATTATTTTTACCTATATTGAACCAACAATGTTGATTAATTAATGTATGAAAATTTTGCAGTACGCTTGAGAAAACAATTGATAGAGCAGGAGGATGAATATGGTGACATATTGAAAGGGAAAAGCTTAAAGAATAAAGAGGATGTATTAAGAGAGTTAGGTAATTTATTTTGGAGAGTTACTACCTTCAGTACTTATGGAGTATTATGCAAAATTTGGTTAATTATTTGATGATTGTAACTGATTAATACAATTTGCAGTTAATACAAGAAGAGAGTTGGAGCATGCAGAAAAAGTATATTTAATCTCACGAAGGAGAAACCTTCGCTCTCAGTCATCATCTGAGGTGGATGATGTAATTTCCAAGCAATCCGATGAAGAGTTCCTAACAGATATGAGTAAGTGAAAGAGAATCAAATAAGTATTGAAACTATGAGCTAAAAGTATATCGATAAAGTTGATGAAGTATTGAAACTATGAGCTAAGTTGGGTTGATTAAGATATATATTCTAAATAAAGAATGATTTGCATTTACAGTACGTAGGAAGAAAGAAATGATGAAGTTGGAAGCTATATTTGTTGGGTTATTGCAAAATTCCACGAAGTACTTGGTTGAGAAACTTTTAGGATACTCTAAAGATGTACTAGGACTGGCAGGTAAGTGCAGAGCAAAACTTATAGCATGGTTATGTTATTTGTTTACAACTAACACTCATTTTTAATTTATTAGTAACTTAAATGTGTAGTAAGTTTGACAAGAGAGTTATTGGCGTTGGATGAACTGTCCGATTCTGAGCTCAGAGAACAAATGAATTTCGGAAGCCTTGATGACATAATATGGATGCTGAGTAAGTTAATGGTAATTTAAGTATTTATATGCCCATTTTTAAGTGGTGACCAATACAGTATTACTCTTCCAGTGTCTTGGAGACAATATTATTCGTGGGGACAACGACAAATATACCCAAATTTATGGTTGGAGATGCACACCGACAAAGAGTACCAAATATATACACTGGAAAGGATGGGTAACACTAATTCACGACTTTTGTTTTAATTATGGGATAATTGTATTCAATTCAATTCATTTGTTAAATTTATTTGGCAGTAAATTTGAGAGAACAATATTTAAGGGTGGAAGATGAATATTTATGGGTATTAGAAGAGAGACACACCAAGAAGCATGCCAACACATACACTTCATTTGATGTCCACCAAATTCATTTAGAGTACATCTGGGAGAAAGTACTACAAACATCATGTAAGTTAATCAATATTGTTAAGTTTACTGCACCACTAATTGTCAAGAAAATCTTACAGCTAAGCATATTTTACAGTAAACTGGAGGAATGATTGGATACTGCGGTTAGATGCTTATACTCGCGAACTACAGAAGAGCTTTGAACATGATGTACTGGACAACGGTAATTCATTTGGTATTGTAATTCTATTTTATGTACAAATATGGATTTTATTTATTATAAATTTTCAGAAATAATGGAGGAGTTGAAGGAGGCGGAAAGAGCATATTGTGACTTTATAGAGAGAAGACATATAACAAATCTGGACAACATTCCATTAATGGACGTGTCTCAAATATATGCAAAGTACAATCATCCAAAATTATTGGTGGACATAAGTAAGTTAAGAAGTAAATTATATAACATCTAGTAAATCAAATTGAAATGAAATTTTATGATGGATCTACACAGATTCCCTGAGACTAAAAATGAAGAAGTTGGAAAGTGATTGTGATCGCATGCTACTAAAAGTTACATACGAGTACAAGCAACAAGAGAGGGTTGAATATGAAATGATGGGTAATGTATCACAAATTTTATTGCACTTCTTAAATTATAATTTGGTCTCAATTTCAACCGCTGTTTGTTTCGCAGCCAAGGCCAGAAAACTGTTATGGAAGATAGACTACAGATATTTTGATCGCTTCAAACACAACATGGAATCAAAAAAATTTCTCCAGCTACTTCCAACCACTTCAAAGGTTCAAAGTTTCCAAGGTTTGTTTGTACTTCCTCTATAAATACTAATCATGCAAAAATTTGTAAAAGCAATCCTAAATCATTTTATATTATAACTTAGTGTGAGATTCCACCTTGGTTGGAGAGGGGAATAAATGTGTGGAAACCTCTCTTTAGCAGACGAGTTTTAAAACCGTGAGACTGACGACCGTACGTAAAGGGCCAAAATAAACAAATTTCATTTTGTAGAGAAAATATGGTCTAGAATTAGGAAAAAGTTTGAGGGATTTAATAAAAACACAATGTATCTTATTTTAATAGAGGAATTTGCAAACACACGATAAAATTAGATTTACAAACAAACCTGATCAAGATAGATTAATAGTACAAGCTCTAGAGCCTAAACAAGACTTTAATCCGACCAACTTTATGGCACCCTAGCACCCAAACGCTGTCATCACCCACTGGTAACTCAGGTACCACCTGAATCAGAAAAATGGTAGCACATGTAAATATAAGAATACTAGGGGTGTACATTCAACCTAACTACTCAAACCAACCCAACCTGAATTATAAGAGTTGGGTTGAGTTGGATTAGCATTTCGGGTTGGGTTGGGTTGGGTTCATTTTTCAGAACCTAAACTGGTTTAGTTCGGTTTTGGGTTAATGAGACAAAAATTTCGGGTCGACCCGAACCGAACAAAAATTTATAAAATACATTAAGAATTTTGTTTTAAATTGAAGAATATGGTTTAGATAGGTTTATTGATTTTGATTTATACATCCCCTCCATCTTTTTTGACAGAGCTGGGTGGAAAATAAATTTTTTTAAATATTTATAAAAAATTTGTCTAAAATATTTTGACTGTTTATAGCGTTTACCATAAATTCTTCATTCTTTTAGGAGTTCTTTCCCACCTATACTAGTGGACACAAAATTAGATCGATAAAAAATTAGTTTCAACATATTTGAAAATTTTGTATTTATTATCATTATATCACAATTTACTTTATTTTTATAAATAATTTAAGGTCCTCCAATCCATCAATGTCACGTGCAAGTAAGTCTATTTGTAAGTAAAAAGAATTTATAATATTTTTTATTTTCGTTATCTATAACTTAATTAAACTAATCATTTTTATTGTTTTTTAATTTCATAATTTATCTTTATATTTTCCTTATTTGTAGAGTAACCAATTCTCAAGAAGGGTCGGTATTTAATGTCTTTAGTTCTATGGCAATGTTGAAGTATGTTAGGACGTTACAATTTCTTCTTGTTATTATTGATGAATTTATTTTTTTTGGGCGATTATAGGTTAATTTTGTGTTTGTTTGTGATTTTTTAATATCATTTATCTTAGAATAACTATGAAGTGTGGATAAATAAAACCTTTTTAAAAAATTAATTTTTTTTTTTAACAACCTAACCTTAAAATAGAGGGTTTGGGTTGGGTTGTAAAAATTTTCAGGTTGGGTTGGGTTACCAATCAAACCAACCCGAACTTTTGGATTGGGTCAAAAAAATTCTTCAACCCAACTCAACCAGGACCATGGCACACCCTTGAACAATACTCAATAAGAAGTTTACAAATAGACACTAACCACACTCATTGGAGAACACGTGTCTATAACATGCCTTTCTACGTAGTATAACCTTAAGTATAGATCTTAGGCTAATTGACACGATACCCTACCCAATGATCAGTTATCAATAACAAACTCCATCGAGCACCCCTAGACCATTAGAGTCGTGTGGTCAAGCTCTCCCTGAGCACATCTTCAAGAATGGAACTCAAGGTTTAGGAATTCTAGTTATGCTCTCCATCGTTTCCCTCTTTTCAATTGGATCATGAAAAGATGAGATCCGACCTCCACCATAGTCCATCTTAGGACATATATGACTCTTGTCTCACTAGACAATCCACAATCCACTGAGAACTAGTTGACTATTCTCTAATAGTTCCAACAATCAAGTTCATTGTCAAAGAATAGTTGGAAACCTTTGAACAACCCCCATAATAACCTAATGGCACTACATAACATATGCATCTAAGGTACAATCATGCACAACCAGCTCACTTATATCAAAGTAGATATCATCTTTAAGGTTAATTGATAACCATTTAAATGGTTTGAATCATTCCTAATCTAATTAAAAAGATAAATGGTTCAGAATATATAATATATGGGCGCTAAATAGTAGTTTTAAAGAAAATATTTATCTGATAAATTTATTTTTAATTATATACACTTTCTTATATAAGGTTGTTTATAACGTACAAAAACACACTTTCAATCTTTAAGTTTGAAGTTAGTTTCAATTTAGTCTTTAAGTTCAAAATAGACAGTTTAATTGAGATTTAGTAGAAAATAGTTTTAAAAAGTTGCTCAATCTACTTTGATCTTTAATTGGCTAAATGTTAATGGATTGTTTGTATTTTGTTGACTTGGTAATAGTATTGATGGAATAATTTTTTTTTTCTTTTTTGGGACTGATCTTTCTCCCTCCTCTCCCCTCCGCCAGCTTCTGAATCATTCAACTTCTTCAAAATGTTAAATGATTCAATAAAATCGTATAACATATACTGTTCCAAGTGCCAGAACTGTATCAACAATTTGATTCAAAGTGATTTGAAATTAGAAGATGTTGAAGAATCATCTGCAAAATTTTCATACGAAGATGAAAAAGACATTCCAAAAAAGTGTTATGAAGTTATTTATAAGTTTCTCAATTTGCATACCACACATTGTCCTGCTTGCACGAATTATGTCAGAGAGGTGACAATCCAACATGCTCCAAAACAATCCACGACTCTTGTACAAGTTCCAAAACCATCCATTCATGGTACAGGTGAGTTTGATGTAAAAAAAGTGCCAAAATTTCATGCTAAATTTATGTGTTTTAGTTTTAGAATTGTTTGATAATGCATTGAGATTAATACCATTGTGTCATATAAACTCTTTTTTCACTCTCGTCTTTTCTATACTCATTATAAGCAGATGAAGAAATTATAGACCATCAAGAAGGCTTAGTTATCACGATCTTCCATCCTGATGAACCAAGCACTAGAGTTAGAAGGTGGGAAATTCGTAGACTTATAGTACTTGGTGGCTTAATGGAATCAATTACAAGTTTAGCTATTGTAACTGCAGCAATGAGTGCAAAGATTTCTGATGGTAATGGTTTTCATTTCCTCTATTTCCCTTTTTCTTAAATAATGATTAGGCGATCTCTAGTTGATCTTGGATTGGGATTCTTGCAGGAAATATAATAGCTTTGGCGTTGACAAATTTGATAGCTGGACTCTTTATTATTAGACATGATGTAAGCATTTACCTTTTGTCTTTTGGGTTTTCAAGTTTTTGATATAGTGAAACGTATGAAGTAAATGTACAGGTATCAAGATTGCAGAAGAAGAGAAAAATACCTAGAATTGAAGTGGACGGCAATAACTACAAAGAAGTATTGAAGGAAAAAATGTATAGTCTTCTCTGTTTTATCATCGCCTACTTATCTTTCTTGTGTTTTGGGTTAGTGCCACCACTGGTTTATGCACTCTCATCCCTCAAGATCAGAAACAAAAACCTCAAAATCATAGCGGCTGCAGGAGCTTCCCTTTCATGCACTGCACTTCTTGCTGTCCAGAAAGCTCACATTAATCAAAAGCCAAGACATAGGCTAGTTTATGTCAAAACTGCAGCCGTAGATGTTTCAGTGGGAGTTGGGGCTTTTGGCATATCATATCTAGCAGGTTACATGTTTGGACACCTTGCAGAGGAACTTCTGTGGGACTTGTGAAACTCAGCACACCCACTTCATCATTTTGCTTTGGTTTCTGCAGAATATGGTTATACATAAGTCTTTGATCAACTTCTATGCTGGTTCAGTTGGTAAAGAAATGGGATATCTTAACTGGAATTGCTATGTTATTTAACACCCAGTTCAGCACTTTATTCAATGATGCAATTCTTTATTGCCAGCTTGTCGGTTTACTTCAATATCTCACATTTACCCGACTCGACATTGCCTTTGTAATCAATAGAGTAGGTCAATTCATGATCATCCCACAATTCTTCTTGTTTTCTTTTCTTTGTGGATCAAGCAACCTGGCATTATGTTTAGTTGAGAAGATTTGTCTCTCACAACCCTTTTGTAACTCTGTCAGGTTGGTGATACATCTGATACATCTGAATTGTCGTTCTACATATGGTTTTATTGCTTTTCTTGGCTCCAGTCCTATATCCTGGTTTGCCAACAACCAACACACCATTTCCTGCTCATCCACACTCTGGCGAAATATCGCTTGTTGGCTACTGTAACTGCTGATCTCTTTTGGTTGCGGCAGCTCCATTGAGATCTTCTTGTTCCTTTGACAGCCTCCTACCCCGCTATGGTGTGACAATGTCAATTTTACTTGCAAAAAAACCAGTGTTGCTGCCATTTATATCTTCCATTTTGATCGTGACAAGGTTGTTCACAAGAACATTTTTGTTCACTTTATATCTTCCAAAGATCAGTTTGTGGATTTGCTCACCAAGCTATTCTCATCCAAATCTTCTTGTCTTCTCGTGACCAACTTCTGACTTCTACCCAGTCTTCAGTTTGAGGGGGCATGTTATGAAGTGTTCTACATATTATCCGTGGTCATATTTTATGCCTTAAATTTTAAATAATGTTATTGTAATCTTGCCAAATAAATGCTTTTAACTTATTTGCTTGTTCTCTCAATGTACATAAAGGGGTCATCACCACTATGAAATTCATGAAGGAAATGACATTCAATTTTGTCTATCTTCCTCGGTGTTTCTATAGCTCTCACTTATGGTTTCATGCTTCTATGTACATGAATATTAAGATTCATACTTTCTATACTGCCTCTGATATGCTCACAAAGCATAAGTTACAGCTACTGTTGGGTTTGCCTTACTTGAAAAAGGTTAGTATTAAATAAATCAGAAGCGGCTGCCAAAAGCTACAGAGGAGAAGATTGATAGACAATAATTCTCGAGAGTTAGAGAGTAAGTATTCAATGTGAATAAAAGCTTCAGCTCCCCCCTCCCTTCTCAGTGGATGCAGGCCTTGCTTTCAGAATCACTTTAATTCTGTGTTGTGCATGAACTTCATCTCTTATCTCCCTAATTCCTTCTGATTGTTTATCAATTGACTGATCTTCGACTGAGTTGTTTGCAGCAACCTCACTGCAGAAGGGAAACAGGAGTTTTTGTTGCCTCTCTGGTGTCTCAGTGTGGGGCTTTTGCGCTTGGCTTGGCTTAAGTCATAACTATGAATGTATTGTCATAACTCTCATTTAGTTCATAACCTTTAATGGCTCATATTCTTATTTATTTTGGTTCATAACTCTCTTTTAATTCATATTCCTTTTAGTTCATATTCTTATTTATTTGGTTCAGGTATGAGAATTAGTATTGTTATGCTTATATAAAGGCTTATCTAGCCTTGTTTTGAGGCGTGGAATCAATGTCATTTTGTATTTGCCTAAAGGTAATTGGGACGAACTTTGTTGAGAGACTTTGTAGGGTAAGAGTTCAAGAGATACACTTATAAACACTTCAGTTATAGTGATTGGCTGCCACCCGTGAAGGAGGGGAATTTCTCTCTTCGAATCACATTAATCTTTGTCTCTTTGTTTAATTTTTATTTGTGGGTGAGTGAGTGCGATCAATCTTGCTTCTGCTTTTGTTACAACAATTGGGTATCATAAATTTTTGGTTGTGGCATTACGGTACAACAATTACAAGCCAGATCTCTTTCATTCCGAGACAGAAAACCAATCCCATTTCTGTGAAAACTGTATACTTTATTACACAAAGTTTCTGAAATATTATTACATTCTACAGAGGAACAATTTCCACATTTTGGACAACAGTGATTGCCTTCTATTACTGAATCATTCTACAACTATCATGAGGCTTTTGTTTTAGTATGGTATCTAAGGCTGTGATAATTTCCTTGTGAGTTTTGAAGATGTGCTTTCATTTTGTACAGTTCTTCTACGCTTTTGCAATATCAACTTTCAGTTCTATGTCCTGACGAAGCCATTAGGACCCCAACAGCCACCATGAACATTAACAACATGCTGATGAGCAAAGCATATGTTTTCTTCGACGATCTACGGTATTCTCCAAATAGAAGGATTCCCCAAAACGTGCTCACGAGTGGAAGCGCCTGAAACAACCATTAGAAATCCAAAAAACAATATAAATGACTTTTTCGAAGATATGTATCTCTTGGCTAGTTGAGCTAAATTCAGGTTGACAACAATATATTCACAGTTTCAACACGACACTACACTCACTTTATCACTTTACATTACAGGTTTAAGATGGATGAATGTTTTGAAAGGACTGAACCAAAAATCTTGAAAGTAAAGCATTTGGAGCAAAGAAGTGACCTGCACAGCATCTGCTGCTGCATAACCAGCAGCTTGACCACCCATAAATTGCAGACCATTGCCAAAGCCACACAAGAATCCAGCCAAGAAGGCCCATCCTCTACCATTCCAGTCATTCACATATGCCTTGAATGTTGTTTTTGGCGAGTTAAGTACAGGGCGGTAAAGGAAGACGACGTTGAGAACAATGGCTATGACGAAACAAGAGACCGAGAAGTAGAAGAACGCAGTGTAGACCGCCAAGTGCGGAACGCCATCCTTTAGAGTGTGCCATTGATCGTTTGTTGCCAAATTGAATGCAGGGGAGAAGAGAGAAAAGCAAACACCAGCAAAGAAAGTTATGAACAATCCAATTACTGTGCTCTTACCAAACACCTGCAAGTTTGAATTTGTATAATTTAGAACATGTTATTTGAATCACATTTATTTCCCTTTGTATCATTACATACCTTAATGGATCTTCTATTCTCAAGTTGAACAAGAAAATCTGCAGTCCCAGCTTTTGGCTTCAATGAAGAATAATCAGCACTTTCCAAGTCTGCTGATTCAACCATATAGATATCAAATTTATAACACAGGAAGCCACGAACTTCTATTGTTCATTACAGAAGGATGACTGAAAGGCTATCATGAAGCTCTAAATTAAAAGATTTACCCTGGCTTGACTTCGGAGGAACATCAGTTGTGCTGTCAAAAATGGATATTATCAAACAGATATGTATATGAATAGTCAAATCGATTAATATTTCTATTAAAAAACGAACAAATTATGTGTAACGACCTAAGCTCACTGCTAACAAATATTGTCCGCTTTGGCTCGTTACGTGTCACCGTTCGTCTCATGGTTTTAAGACATGTCTGTTAGGGAGGTTTCCACAACCTTATAAGAGGAATATTTTGTTCCTCTTTCCAACCGATGTGGGATCTCACACCCTTACAAGGAATGTTTTGTTCCCCTCTCCTATCGATATGGGATCTCACAATCCACCTCCCTAGGGAAGCCAACGTCCTTGCTGGCACACCGCTCAGTGTCGGGCGGAATGTTTTGTTCCCCTCTCCAACTGATGTGGGATCTCACAATCCACCCCCTTAGGGGCCTAGCGTCCTTGCTGGCACACCACTCAGTCTCTAGCTCTGATACCATTTATAATAGTCCAAGCCCACTGCTAACAAATATTGTCCGTTTTGGCTTGTTACGTATCGCCATCAGCTTCACGGTTTTAAAACGCGTCTGCTAGGGAGAGATTTCCACAACCTTATAAGGAATGTTTCGTTCCTCTCTCCAACCAACATGGGATCTCACAATCCAACCCTTTAGGAGCCCAACGTCCTCGTTGGCACACCACTCGGTGTCTAGCTCTAATACCATTCATAACAGCTCAAGCTCACCACTAGCAAATATTATCCATTCTGGCTCATTACATATCGCCATCAGCCTCACGGTTTCAAAACGCGTCCGCTAGAGAGAGGTTTCCACAACCATATAATGAATGTTCCATTCCGCTCTCCAACCAATATAGGATCTCACACTATATAAAATGAACAAGATCACAGGCTCAACAAAACTACGAAAACATACTTAGATCCTTTGTTCGTATCAACCGACAAAGTTTCGAGTTTTGCTTTGTTATCAGCTGCGTTGGATGAGTGAACAGCAGAGCCAAGACAAACAGCAATCAAAAAGCAAGCAACACCAGGGAAAAGTATCTGAGCTTTATTGATTTTGTCATCAAGAAAGTAGTTCAATGTTGTACCTATTACAAGAAGCAGTGTACATATTGTTTAGTACCATATTCAACACTGATGGATTAGATTCATTCATTTGAAAGATATATAAAGAGAAATGGACCTATAACAACTGTTATACTTGAAGTGATCACTTCTGTCACTGACAAACCAACAAAAGCCCAAGCATACTGAGTTGAAAGATTTCCAAGGCTTAGAACAATACCACCTGCCATAGCAAACATGACAGAACTCCAATTATCCTGCATATAACAAAGTTTTAAACATTATAAACCTATTAAGGTCCCTAAACGTTCAAGTTCGTTCATTTCGGTCCTTAAATAACTTGAAATCGTGCTCTTATTAGCGGTATACATACTCGAAACTATGTCATTAATAGGGTCAAAATACTATGGGATGAAAGGTTTAAGGGTAAAGAAATTAACCTGAGAAAGCTGTTGAATAAAATTTGGATGATCATTAGAGCTGTTTCCAATCTCACCAAAGGTTAAGGCGATGATTACAGCAGCTAATAAGTTGGTTATGGAGTAATCAAGATATGTGTGCTGAGGAAGGCGCCCTCGTCGTTCAAGGAGAGTCAAAAGTGCAGGCCATGTTCCCAAGAACAAGAGTGCTAACACCATACATGCTATAGCACCTTCTTTACTCTCCACCACATACATCTTTTTCACCTCCAAATGAATCCTGCACATAATCAATCACGGATCGTTATAATCTCAATCTAAGTATAACATCAACGAGTTTTTGTGTTATAACTTTCACCTAAAAGTTAAAGATAGTTAAATGACAACGTGAGTATAGGTCGATGAGGCGTCGTAGTTTTGAGACACAAGGGAGGATTCTAAATTACCACACGACCGCTCAAGCCCACCTCTTTAGGCTTTTTCTTCTGGAGTTTCCCTCAAGATTTTTAAACGCGTCTGTTTGGGGAGAGGTTTCCACACCTTTATAAGGAATGTTTCGTTCTCCTCTCCAACTGATGTGAGATCTCAAAATCCACCCCCTTGGGGGCCAACATCCTCGTTAGCACATTGCCCGATGTCTGGTTCTGATACCATTTGTAACAGCTCAAGCCCACCGCTAGCAAATATTGTCCTCTTTGGGCTTTTTCTTCTGTGGTTCCCCTCAAGGTTTTTAAACGTGTCTATTAGGAAGAGGTTTTCACACCCTTATAAGGAATGTTTCGTTCCCCTCTCCAACTGATGTGGGTCTTACAATCCACCCCTCTTGGGGGCCTAATGTCCTCACTAGCACATCGTCCGGTGTCTGGTTCTGATACCATTTGTAACAGTCCAAGCCCACCGTTAGTAGAATTGTCTCTTTGGGTTTTTCCTTCTAGGGCCCCTTAAGGTTTTTAAACGCGTATGTTAGGGAGAGGTTTTCACACCCTTATAAGGAATGTTTTGTTCCCCTTCCCAACTGATGTGGGATTTCACAATCCACCCCCTTGGGGCCCAACATCCTCGCTGACACATCGTCCGGTGTCTGGCTCTGATACCATTTTTAACTATCCAAGCCCACCACCAACAAACATTGTCCTCTTTGAACTTTTCTTTCTGGGCTTCCCCTCAAGGTTTTAAAACGCGTCTATTAGGGAGAGGTTTCCACACCTTCATAAGGAATGTTTTGTTCCCCTCTCCAACCGATGTGGGATCTCACAATCCACCCCCCTTGGGGGCCAACGTCCTCATTGGCACATCGCCCGGTCTCTGGCTCTGATACCATTTGTGACAACCCAAGCCCACCGCTAGCAAATATTGTCCGCTTTGGCCCGTTACATATTGCCGTCAGCTTCACAGCTTTAAAATACATCTACTAGGGAGAGGTTTCCACAACCTTATAAGCAATGTTTCGTTCCCCTCTCCAACCGACATGAAATCTCACACTACACTATAGGAAATTCAGGAGTGGACTAGTTGATTGACTAGACAAACTAAAACTTTTTTCAATATCAATCACTTCCTCCAAGAAAAAAAAACAGCAAAAGTTAAAGAAGAAGCAAGGTTCACAAAACGTTGGAAAGTCTTACTCCTTGTTCATCAAGTTCTATCAAAGTAAATCCAATCCTACTGAAAAAAAGAGTCTGATCATGACTTACGCTAGCTATAATCTTAACACATACAACTCGAACAACTCGAACGTCGTTCTCAACTTCAAATCTCTACTTTGATATACTTTCAAACTCAAAAAACAAATAACCCAAATAACAATCCGTGCATAACTCAAGTATTTAAAAGATAATCTCGACCAAAAGTCAGAAGTTCAAATCCGTACAACTAAACAAACAAAACAAAACAAGTTACGATTACCGGTCGAATCATAACTCGAACAAGCAAGATGGTAGCAAGAAAACAAATCAAGATCAAGCCAAAATTCCAAGTTGAAGATCACAGTTCAGAAACAGAGAAACACTGAATCTCTCACACTAAAAAAATGGGTAAGAAACGAACCAATCGATGGGAGAGAAGTAAAGGGCAAAATGTATAGAGGACGCCAGTAAGGTAGGGAGATGATTATGAATCGCCGTTGGGAATGGAAGTCCACGCACATGCCTACAAATTGGTATCTAAAAGGATGATTCTATTGATATCAGTGTTTGCAGGTTACACACAATCGTCAACGATTCCGTTCCCATTTAATTTAAAGTGCAATAAAGTAAGCCATTTAGCTATCTAACACACGACTCCGATACGATAAGCACTCGTCGTTTTACGGGCTTCATATTGTTTAAGATATGATTTTTCTCATCATGAATTTAAAATTTTAAAAACTATACTTTTTTTCTTAAAACAGTATGAGATCACAGATCGGTTAGATACGAAACATTTTGTACATGAGTGGAAATCTCTGACACAATATCTATCGCACTCAAAAGTATAAATAGATCTGAAAATATTATTAAAAGTAAACAATACAGAAAAAATAGAATTGAGATAGAAGGTTCAATAGTTAAATACGATACAAGTCACCCACTAATACCAATAAGTAATAAAATATAAACTAACTAAATCTTGAGAATAAAATAAAATATACTACTAATTAAATCATAAAAGAAATATTAAATATATTCTATAACTAATATATTATTCAAATATTAACCGATTGTGAATATTTCCCGTATATTTCATGAATAATTAAAATTAGCAATAAGTTGTACTAAATTGTGAGAATTTCACCTTAGTAGACACGATAATTAATTCAAACTAGCAATAAGTTACACTAAATTTTGACAATCTCTCCTTAATAGACACATTTTAAAATTGTGAGAATGACGAGAATTCGAGTCAATGATTGACCGGTTAATTGTAAGAAATGGGTAAGATTGTTAATTTTAATATTATTATTAAAATTTTAAATAATAATATAAAATAAATTTTTAAGAAAATAATGAGAGGGGTAAAAGAGTAAAAAGACAATGTAATATAAAATATTTAATTAAAATTCAAAATTTGTCGGCTTGACATCTCAGGTAACTTTTCGTAATACCTAATTTACCCTCGCGCAATACGTTTATATTACTTCTCTCTCCTGCCTATTAAAAAATTCGGTTCTCTCTCATTAATTCCTCGCCGGAAATCTGAAGAAAGTTGCAGGTGGCGGAGATCTGCCATGGACGGCGGTAGGTTTCAGGACTGGAGCGACGGCGGGAGGGGAGAGGGAAGAGAGAGAAACGACTAAATGAGAGAGAAAATAATACATAATTCATCACCTGACTGACCTGAGCTTGGAGGCAATGAAATAGAGAAGACTAGATTTTGCAATGGAGAGTGCTATCACGTTTTGCTCAATTCAAGCTTCATTGCATGTGGTGAACACCTTTATTTATAGGTGTTGGAAGAAGATTCTAGAGACGACGTAAGTGTCGGATAAACCTTTTAAGAATGTCACAACTGTCACGGTCGTACATTTTCAACCGTGCAGCGTTATGATCTTGACACGCTCACGATAAGTCTTAAGGAGAATTCAAATCCTATTCATATTTTTCGCTTGACTTTGTGGCTTCATTAGACCATCAATGAGGTTTGCCTTCGTCAACCGAACACAGCTCGTGCAGAATCCAAGCTTGTTCGGCTACACACGTCGTTCGTGCGTGCATGTTCAATCGTGTACGACACAGATTGTCGTCTTAGCTCCCAACAACATGATTCGTGCATCGTGATGTCATCCTACGTCTCGGTACACATCATGCATCTAGGCTTGTTCAGACACATTTGTTGGGAACTGACCTATGTGTCGATTATCTCACTGGGACATCCCGAACATCCATCCATCTGAGTTCACTCAAGCATCAGACTCTCCCATGTCCATACTAAACTATTTACAACAGACGCTGTTCCAGCTAGCAGGAGTATAATCCAACCTTTGACCCATGGGCTAAGACGCAATACCAACACACCTATACTGTCCAGACCCTTTTCAAAAGAAGACAATCCGAGACCACTCATCTAATAATCTTCACCTACGCTATAATACACGCATGTGCCACAGAATAGCTCGTTTAGACCATAAAGTCCAAGAATAGTGGAGAGCCAACAATTTAAAGAGTAATACATATTGTTACAATGCATGTCGTAGTTAAATTAGACGTACACATTTAATTGAGTCATAATTATGTATTTATTTACTTCGAGATTTTGTCAATCCCGACACATGGTAGACTTTTGACTTATAAGTTGACTCATAGACGGTTAAGTTGGGGCCCACTTTCATCTTCATCCGTACATTTAAGGGACTTTTGACATTCAGTTTATTTGGATAAATCTAATAACAATACAATGAATTTGTTATTTATTTATTTATTTTAAGATAAATGAAAAATAACCAACCACGCGCTCATACCAATTCCGTAATTTGATCCAACTCCAAGGGTATTATCGTACTTTCGACTTCCTCGGTCCCATCGACGCCGTCACACCAAAGAAGAAACTGACCGAAATCGAGAGGGTGGGAGAAAGGAGAAAAACTTTCCTCTGCAATCTAGAGAGAGAAAATTATTGAACCTCCATTTTCTCTATCCTTTATCTCTCTCTCTCTCAGATATGTTGAAGGTTCCTTGCAATGTGACTGACCAAATCCATGTCCTCTCCCAATGTAGATTCCTTCCACCATCTGCACCACTGTTCTCCTCCTTCCGCCGGCGAAACGCTGCCACTCGGTGTGCGTCGTTGACCAGACCTCCGGTTGTGGCCGCACTTGTCTCCGATAAAGGTGAACCTTGTGTTCAGAGTGGTTCTGGAAGCTTGGCGGACCGCCTTCGCCTTGGAACCTTGGTTGAAGACGGATTGTCTTATAAGGAGAAATTTATTGTGCGGTGTTACGAGGTTGGAATCAACAAGACCGCCACTGTTGAAACTATTGCTAATCTCTTGCAGGTAGTTCCTCTCGTTCTTGTTTCCGATTCTTGCTGCATTATTTGAATTTGATTCGTTCGCGCCTGATTTCCTTTTTTCTGGCATTCTCTGGATGTGTCACATGTTACTGAAAATTCAATTCGATCATCTATTATTAGCTTTAATTGCTTCATTGTTTTTTGGAATTTTTCATTCACCCTTTCAGGAAGCAATATCCGTAAATTTCGATGGCTTTCTGGTCCTGCATGTTTAATTGTTTTAACTTTTTGCCATTTGGTTCTGTAGCTTTCTCTTCTTGATTCCTTTCCGTATTAATTTTGGCTTGTCATGGATGCACGTGTTCTTTTCTTTCAGCAACGGAAACTGACAAAATCCTCTTAATCTCTTCCTTTTGTATGCCTATGGGCCTTACTTAATTAGTTCTTTGGAATTATTTTCTTTCTTGCATTCTTACTCAGAATGTTTACTTATGGCATTAAGTTTGATGATAGTTCTTCAAACATCCCACTTGTATATTTACAGAGTTTGCCTTTGATGAATTCTTCATGCAGGAGGTTGGTTGCAACCATGCTCAGGGTGTTGGGTTTTCCACAGATGGTTTCGCCACAACCCCCACCATGAGGAAATTACATCTCATATGGGTAACCGCACGCATGCACATTGAAATTTACAAATATCCAGCGTGGTGAGTCCCTTCTTCCGCTGTCATTTTGAATTTTGATCCAAATTCTGCTTCTTTTGAATTTCCCATGTTTTCTTGTACTAATTTACATATTGTCATTTGACGTAGGGGTGATGTGGTTGAAATTGAGACATGGTGTCAAGGGGAAGGGAGAATCGGAACTAGACGTGATTGGATACTTAAAGATTATGCCACTGGTCAAGTTATAGGAAGAGCAACAAGGTGCATAATTGGCTATTGTTCTATTATTAATTTCTTTTGAAATTTTGAAAGTAAGAAACTGCAGGAGTTACGAATACCTTCTCATTCCAAGATCAGTTATACATACTATAATATGCATGAACTGATATCCTATCTGTTCTTGGGATTATTTGTTCTTTGAACTGTTACTTTCTTGAACTTTACAAGGTTGTTTTATTGAAATTACAATTTGTTGCATACCTAAAAATTCTGGTTCGTGTTCGTAGTCTTTCAGGATGAATATGTGCGACTGGAAATTGAAAGTACTCTATGTTGTTCTTTTTACTGTTTTAGAAATAAAATTGCATGTCAATTGCTGATGGAGTGTTCTAACCTTATACCATCCTCGCAAATTTGGAAAGATATGTACCAAATGGTAACGGCTTGGTTCAGATTCCACGGTCTAGATATGAACACTTTACAAGCCTTGATGTTTATCGTTTTGGTTGTACTTCTTGTCCAAGTTTCTAATAGTTATCTTTGATTGAAATCAGACTACATGTTTATCATAAAGGAGTCATAAACTCTGCCTAACTCATAAATCGGTCAAAGTAGAGATGGTATTAGTCCAATAATAAATGCTCTTCTAATTCGGAATTCTCAATGGTGTTTAACATAAATCTACCGATGGAGAAAAGGTTGATGCTTTTAACCCACTAGTCACACCTAGAAGTAAAGGGCTATTAACCACTTAAAATATGTGTTTTCAGATACAAGGTCGGCCTGAACTAGATTTTTAATTTTTGGGTCAGCTAATTTCTGGTTTGGTAAAACATTGTCCAAATCAAGGTACCACAGTCAAAATCAGTTCTTATACTTTGTAAATAAAACTTAGGATATTTCGATTTAGTTCAGTGCTTATAGTTGTTTAGTCACGTTATCATAGCTGTTGGAAGTGATCCACTTGAGGAAAGATGAAAGAATGATAGAATTCCACAAAAGGTACCTTCTAGCTCTTCACTGCTATTGAGAGATGCCAAATTTGGTCTTGACCATGAACCATAGTTATCATCAGTGATAAAGCAAGTTTTACCATTATTGACGCACAGTTGTCTGGTTCTTGTGGTTGCCCCACCCCAATAAAAATTTTCTGTCTGATAATGGGTTGCATGGTGCATCATCCAGAAGGATGGAAAGGGCTTGTTACGAATAATCATGGCATATTAACACATGTATCGTTTTTATGTCACTTATCCCATTCTGCTTATCCTCAAGAGAGTGAAACTATCCTCATTCTTGTGTTCTATTTTTTTTTTATTCTTAATTTCATTTTGCATTACATCTCATTGTTTGTATTCTACCTGATGACTTGCTTATTAATGTTTTTAGTAAGTGGGTGATGATGAACCAAGACACTAGACGACTCCAGAAAGTCAGCGATGATGTTCGTGATGAATATTTGGTTCATTGTCCAAGAGATCTCAGGTAGGTGCCTTTTCTCCTTGGTGATCTAAATTTTGAATAGCCATTGTCGACAGTACTGTCGTTCAGGAAAAAAAAATCTATGGAAGTCTTAATTTGCAACATGACATGGTTAGGTTAATTTGGAATTGGTTTTCTGGAGTTATATGCATGTTAGCATAATACAAATTACTGTTTGTTAACCTAAAATTATTGAACTTTTCTTTGTTTGTAAAGCCGTGATTATTCGTGAGGCATTCTGCAAAAAGAACCTTTGTAAAGAAAATCGCTGATATGGCAATAGGCTTTCTATTCCTTTTTGTCCAGGCTAGCATTCCCGGAGGAGAATAATAGTAGCTTGAAGAAAATTCCAAAACTTGAAGACCCTGGTCACTATTCCAGACTTGGACTAATGGTAAGAGTTAAGAACATTAGGTCCAAACTTTTCCAATTCTTCCAGATTGTGAACGTGCTTTTTATTTCAGCCTAGGAGGGCAGATTTGGACATGAATCAGCATGTCAATAACGTCACCTACATTGGATGGGTTCTGGAGGTTAGTATACTTGTTCCTATTTTCTCAAAAAAAATTCTTTTATGCTGCAATGCAAAAATGGTCCCAAAAAATTCCGACCCTTTTCTTTAGAATTCCCTAAATACTATACTGGTCAGGAGTAATGGTCTTTTTTTGTTTTTTTCTTGTACTTGTTTTCTTTATTTTTTTAATGGTGATACAACATAAGGTTACACGGTCCTTGTTAGGAAAAAATCTATTTTTAATTTTCATAATTATTTCTGTCAGGAGAATGCTAACATTCGAGTTTACACTGTTTGGTTTAATATTGCCATTTTGTTGAAATGAAAATGAAATGGCTACGAAGCATGGACATGAACATGCATCATAGATATGATGACATAGAAACGACCACATTTCAATTTCATAAAAAGTTGGACAGGGAGACATTCAATCTTTTATTAAAATGTGTCGGATGTCGGTTCAAGTACATCTGTGTTCGGTTGGTGTCCAAGCTTTTGTCTGTGTAAGGCGCATGTCGGTGAAGCTTGTCTATGTCGGACACTGACACTACAAGAGTGACCCTGCCTTCTAGATAAGTAGAGAGGAAGATGTGGGGAGGATGCCATCCTCCAAAGTTAGGGGAGGATTTCTCAGTTTGATTTGGAAAATAGAAGAAATGAAAAGTAGTAGTAGGAAGAAGAAAGCAGAATGAAAAGTGAAGGGATATTGTGAATGTAATGGCACCAAATAGTTTTATTAACATCATTGGATCGCCTTTGTTTGATAAAAATGACATAGAATAAAGGAAAAGGAAGCGGTTAGGCATGCTGATGAAGCTCACTCTTGTTCAGTTTGGATGGTCACTTTAAAGTCACCTTCAGGATAGTGATTTCAAGTTGATTATATCCCATGCGATTCCATCATAACTATAACATAATCATGATATATGATGGATCTATGACAGAGTATGCCTCAAGAAACCATCAATAGCCATGAACTTCAGACAATTACATTAGACTATAGACGAGAATGCCAACAAGACGATCTCGTGGATTCCCTTACAAGTGTGGAGGAAGTCGAGAATGGTGGCAATGAAGCAGTTTCAGAGCTCAATGGATCAAATGGCTACATTTCCAGTGACAAACAAGATAGCCGTCAATTTTTGCATCTACTAAGGTTGTCCAGTGATGGACTTGAAATCAACCGAGGACGCACTGTGTGGAGGAAGAAACAACAGAGATGAGGGTAATAGGTCTGTGATCGATATTATGTGATAAGTTTAGCTTTCTTTTGTGTCCACTTTTATCACTTTCCTCCTTTCAAATTTTGTTTTTGTTTCTGTCAAACTGTTGGTTGTAGAACTATGAAGTGTGGAGTCTAGAATCAGTCTAATAGAGTCAGCAAGTTGAATGTATGTACTATGAACAGGATATAATCATCTTCCCCTTGACATGTCTGATTTGTGTTGTGATGTAAAATTTGTTAGCAGGCAATAAGAACCAAGAATGGATTCTTTCTGATTTTTTTCTTTTTCCTTTTTAATGTGGTTGTTTTTTAATAATGGATGTAGATTCAAAATTTTGTTTCTCTTAATATCTATCCATAGGAAAATTTAAAATTACATCGATTTCGACTCTAAATTTTTAGAGGAAGTCGATTGACTTTTAGTTTTCCACTCTATTAACTTAAATAGTATAAAAATTAGAACTGGAACGACCCAGATTCACCGCTAGCAGATATTATCTTCTTTGGACTTTTCCTTTCGAGCTTCCTCTCAAGAATTTAAAATGCGTCTGCTAGATGAAGGTTTCCACACCTTTATAAATGGTGATTTGTTCTCCTCCCCAACTAATGTGGGACATCACTCACAATCCACCCACTTTCGGGGCCAGCAAGCACACCCTTATAAAGGGTGGTTTGTTCTCCTTCCCAACCAATGTGGGACATCACAATCTACCCCCCTTCGGGGTCAGCGTCCTCGCTGGCACTCTTTCCTTCCTCTAATCGACGTGGGACCACCCCCAAATCCACCCCCCTTTAGGGCCCAACGTCCTTATTGGCACACCGCCTCGTGTCTACCCCCCTTCGAGAAACAGCGAGAAGGCTGCCACATCGTCCGATATCTGGCTTTGATACCATTTGTAACGACCCAAATCCACCGCTAACAGATATTGTCCTCTTTGGCTTTTCCCTTCCGGACTTCTCCTCAAGGCTTTAAAATGCATCTGCTAGGAGAAGGTTTCTACACCCTTATAAATAGTGGTTTGTTTTCCTCCCCGACCAATGTGGGACATCACAAGAACCTCATGCCATACTGCCATGAACAGATATTTCAAAAATACATTGATGCCATACTGCCATGAACAGATATTTCAAAAATACATTGAAGTTTCAAGGGAAACAATGAATCATAACATCATCTAAAATTAGTACAAATAATTTATATTCAATAGTCTAGTGAAAGATGAAGTTACATGAAAGCTCTAAGAAAAAGGACAAGAAAACACTTCCAGATAATGTTATACTTGAACATAACAAGTAACTAATCAATGGGATTTTAAGGAAATTAAATCATCATCACTACAACTGATGCTATAATGAAACTGGTAAGTAGGCACATCAGTTATTGAAATCTTCACAGATATGCCATAGAAATGGAGGAAAAAGAAGAAACTTACTAGAGCTTCTGAGTCAATCTGACCATGAAAGAGTTGACTGAAGTTTTTTCAAGAAGAATCCATGAAGATTCAAACATCTCGTGGAAAAACTCTCCGCCAATTTCCTCCGCCGCATTCCGGAATGCTCTCCCAAATGCATTGCCTTGAGATGCCCCCAGCCTCGGCTTCCCACAAACTCCAACGATCAATACTTTGTTGGGCTCTTGAGATATGCAAGCACATAGCAAAGGCTTCATTCTGGCTCCTTTCTCTCGCAATGCATCCATTATAAAGTAGCAGAACTTCGTGAGTGCTTGAGGATATCCCAACAATTTGGTGTCTACGGAATCTTCAAGCTTCACCCAACGAAATTTCCTACCACTTCTTATGCAACCACTCTTTGTAATTGCAGAGCTCCCCTGTCTAAGAATTGATCTCTGGACCTTGATTGCCTGCTGCATTCCATCTTTGAGCTTGTCAAGATTGCCCAATGATAATGCATCATAAGCTACTCCGAACTGTTTGGAAGCACTAGTGCCATCCGATTTGACAAAGGACTCGAGCAATGCAGTGACCCCATATACTACATCTGCTGCTGACACTTTTGAGCTATAACCATGTAACCTCAAGAAACTTCTGTAGTAGAAATCCGTTAGGCCGTATTCGGGAAGGTATCGCTCGAATTCGTCTTTCATCTTTCGTTTCACTTCGATATTCATGTATTGGAACTTTTGTTGGCAATCCACAAGTGCAAACCCCATACGTGCTAGAAGCAATTTGAGCTTCTTCATTCCATTGTCACTCCATGTCTTTAACTTGGTTGCAATGTATGAAGAACAAAGCATTGAATCAAACAAATTCCACTCCTGTAAGAGCATTAGTCTGGGTTCATCATCATAAGTGATTCTAGATGCATCAGGGGCTCGGATCTTGGTGCCATCTTTAAGAGTAACTGAGTTAACAGCATTCAAGTTTCCTGAACTGTTTATGTGTTGTTCTAGCTCCATAACCCCAGCTTGGTACCTCTCCTCCGTCAATCTTTCATGAACAAACTGATCTGTTAAAGACACACAAGCCAGCCACAGTAATTCATTCGTGTTCTTCCTCAACGAATGAGATAGGTCATACATCAAACACCCTGAAGGCCTACCATGGAAGGTACCCATTTGATAGTATCCCCGTTTCAATTTCCTAAATATCTGAACAGGGTCATCCTCATTTTCCTTTTCAACCCTTCTCCTTTTCCTTGATCCACGTCTCTCTTCGTCGTCGCTTTCGCTATCATTGTCGTCGTCACTATCCAATTCCTCATCAATCTCATCATCGCTGTTCAAATCGCTCGCACTCGCCAAAGCAGAAACGTCAAAATCATAAGCCAAATCAGCCTGGAGCTCGTCGTCTTTCGTATAAAGCACAACCACTTGTTCATTCTGATCACTTAGATTGTGAAGATGAATTGGGCGATGACTATCAACAACAAACACACGAGCAGCCGGACCTAAACTCAAAACCTTCCGAAGATCTCGATGACAACCCCAATTAATCAAAAGGATCGAAATGGGATCAGCAGACGAGGAAGTCAAACTAGGACCAGCATATTTATGAATTTCTTGAAAAGAAGACACGGGATAACAAGCGTAGCGAACCGAATCGGATTCAAGAACTTGAAAAATAATTTTCAAGGCACAGAGAGAATCTACATCAGAAGTGGATGGAAAAATAAGTAGAGGAGACAAAGAAGAAGCCGCCACAGATTCACGAAGCTTAGTATAAAACGATTCAACTCGTTGTTCCCTCACCATAATCCCTTCAATCGAACATCCAGAAACAAACACAAAACAAAATTCCACCGCAGAACTTCAAAAATCCAGATAAAAATTTCAAATTCGGATCAAATACTAACCGAATTAGCTTCTTGAATCCGCCTAGAATCAATACAGCACCAAATAGAAAGAAGAAAAAGCTACAATCCTCGAATTCTCGAGCAGAAGGGAAAAGATTGGAAGATGAATTTGAAATACCTGAACGTGTAAAAGAGAAAAAGAGACGGCTTTCGGTTCTGTATGCGATAAGATCTGAGAGAGAGAGAGAGAGAAGAGAGGGAAATCGAAGATTGTGAGAACAAAATGGTTCGAAAGTTTCAAAAGATTGAGATTTTGGATTTCGCTTTGTAAATGAAATTTCTTTCAAATTTTTTGAAACTACCGCGAAATTTTGGCGCTCAAAGGGTAATATTACTCTACATTCGTTCTCATTTTAAGAATTGGCAGTTCTCAACGGCCGTTGATGTGTGTGGATGTTTTGGACGGTGGCGATGGGATCTAATCCTTGTCAAGTTTGAAGCCCCTTGGTATGCTAATAAATAATAAATATTGTAAAATTATTTTTTTAATTAAGCATTTAAATATATTTGAAAAGAAATATTCAATAAAAATACATTTGAAAATAAAATATATTTATAATCCTAATATTTTTGAGGGAAGTGTAATTGATATATAATTCTTCCAAGTCAAATTTATTGTATTAAAAATAATTAATTATCTATTTTATAATTTATAATATATATGTGATTTATGATATAAAATAGTATATTTTGGTTGATTTATTAAATTTATTATAGTTTGAACTAAAATTTATTTCTTTCTCGTATCGGCTAACATTTGGGTGCTAATATAAACTCGACATGAATCCGTTAGAGCAACAACAAAACAAAAGTGTCTCAAATCAACGCCCTAACGACCTTACAAATGAATCACAAAAAATTTTACTTCATCACAAATCAAGAAGCGAACGACTCTTTGCACATTCTCGTAAATCGTTTTAGAATGCTTTCGGCTTATCCTAAAAGCATATTTATATTGTTTCCAAATAAGAAAATTACCCGGGACTGTAACTATGGCAAGACATAAGAGAATTACACGATTTTTTTTTATAAAAAAAACAAAAAGTAATTTTAGAAGTAAATAAGTATTTCTTCCAAAATAAATTGAATAATAATAATGAAAATAGAGGATAATAAGAACAACGCCAAGAAACTTATTTTCTTCTTAGACATGGGAAGCACCCTCCCTGCAAATATATTATAAAAATTAAAATTAAAATAAGAAATAATAATAAAGAATTTCATTTTCTCATAATATATAATTTAATATTTAATTATACCATTTATAATTTATAATTTATAATTTATTTAATAAGAATGAAAAGAAAGGGAGCTGAATTACCTTGGCGCTGTCGTCGGGTCTTCGGTTATGAACGTTGTTGTACGGCGAAGAAGAATGCGGCGGCGGCGGGGTTCCCGGCCCCATCTTCTCCTCCCTGACTTTACCAAAAATGTGGGTAAAACCGTCGGCCGACGCCGGATTGTTCACATCCCACGATCCAAACTTCGGCACCGCCGTCCCTTCCGGCTGCACCACCAAAATGTACCATTTCAAAATGCAACGCCAAAGGAAGAAAGATTTAAAATTTATTTGTGGGTTCTGTTTTGATTGGTGAATAATCGAACAAGGAAGTTAAAAAAGGCAAAAAGCTTACAGCATCCGGCTTCATTCTGGTCTTCCCACGGTTGCCATGGCCGCCGTCGAAGCCCTTGCCCTCCACCACGGGGCTCTCTCTTCCCGATGGCTTTGCGTGGCGGTGGAGGGGAGAGCGGTCGATGCTATACTCTGAGCCACTCTGTTTTCGGCTGGGATTTTCACGGTGGCCAGGGGAGTTGGCGTAGGGGTGATAACCGTCGTCTTCGCGGCTCTGTTTCTTCTCGTGGGTGGTGGGTTTTGGTGCCGGAATGTTGGGTTTAACCGGAGGAGCTTCATGGGAGTTGTCGGCGAACATCTCTGGATATTCCTCAGGATCGTTTGGGTTTCTGATTGGTCCGCCGCCTCTGCCCTTTCTGGCCTTGTCGAAGAACACTGTGTATGGAACATTCCCTTCGTTTTCCCAATTTCCAAAAGCTGGTACGTGTGATCGTTGCTGTCCCAACAAAACCCATTTTTCAAAACAAAATTTGATTGAATTGTGAATCATTCGAAAATTGTTTGGAGGGAATTTCACATTCGCTAATTTAGATGATTTAGATGATGATCATAAATTTATAAGCAAAGAATACATAGATACAGGTTATTTTGGAGAAACCAAAAACAAAATCACGAAAGCTTATGCTTAAAGTGGACAATACGTTCAGTCATGTAAATTATGGTTCCTAACATTGTATCGAGTCATACTTTTAACTTAGCCATGTAAATAAAATCCTCAAATATCAAACAAAAAAGTTGTGAGTCTCTAATGTGTAGTAAAAAACCTGACTCAAGTGTCAAACAAAAGGTTTACTTTGTTCAAGGGCCTCTAAAAAAATGAGTTGAGTCTCAATTAAGCAGAGGTTGTTCAAGGGCTCTATAGGTCTCAAAGGAGACTCTAACAAAAGGTGGGAAGGCTCTAAAGAAAGGAGTCCGGCCTCAACTAAGGGGATGCTATTTGAGGGCACTATAGGCCTCATGGGAGACTCTAACAAAGGGCGTGAGGACTCCAAAGAAAGGAATCGAGCCTCAACTAAGGAGAAGCTGTTCAAGGGCTCTATAGGCATCAGAGGAGATTCTATGATATACTTTTTCGAGGAGAGAATTGTCGGATGAGAATCTCACCGACTAATTTAGAGGATGATCATGAATTTATAAACAAAAACAAAAACCGTCGGAGCTTACGGTCAAAGTAAATAACACCATACCATTGTGTAGATTAGTAGACAACATCATGCTATTCTCGAGATTCATAACAAAAAGAACTAAAATCTTTAGACACTTACCTAAACAATTACTGCACTGAGTTAAAAAAAAAAAGTCAAAAAGGTTAAATCAAAGAACAGAGAAACCCCATCTTCAAACGATGGATTAAAACTGATCTACAGAACAAATTCAGTTTCAGATGTACCGTACAACAGCCGCTCAACAAAACAGTTAAAAACAACAAAATCCCAATTTTCTCTTAATTTTTCTCGGATTTTCTCAGCAACCAAACAGAAAGGAAAGTCAAAAGAACAGGAAGAACAAGGAAGAACAAGAAGATGATGAAAATAGAAGAACTCACCGCCATTGAAGAAGAACAGAGTGATGGGTCTGACGGGAAAGACAAAGATGAGGTTTTGGTTCGTTTTTGATCGTTGGATCAGAAAAATATCAGAGGCAACTTTAGAGAGAGAAATGGGTAGTTAGAGAGAGAGAGGGAGTTTATAGAGAGGGAGAGGTTGATCGGCCATGGACTGGCGGCATCGCTAGGCTTTGGGCTTTGACCATTCTTCTTTCCGTCCGTTGAAAAGTCTTTGTCCGACGTGGCTTTTACCTGGACCTCCGGTTTCATATTGCCACTTCCTGTTTTTACTACTTCCACGCCTTCCCTACGTTCACTCACTAATAATTTCTATTTCTAAAAATATTATCTTTTTTAATTATATTATTACTACTTTATACATTACTTTATTTCTAAATTTAATAATGAATAATTTGGAAAATCAATTAATTAAAACATAAACAATAAATATATAATTAAATAATAATAATAATAATATAAAAGGTTAGTTAACGGTAGATATGGAGAAGCTGACGGCTGAATGTTAGTTAACGGTGACCGTTGAAGGCGGCTGAAGAATAAATTCCCAATTGTCATATGGTTGAAAATTAAATGCTATTTTATCTTCTTTTTTTTTTTTTTAAATTAATTTTTTTCTCTATTATTATTTATTATTATTATTATTTGTGATGTGAACACGAAACCAAATTTGGCTCCATTCGCAAGGACAATGGCTCAAGACTTTTTTTTTTTTTATTATTTATTAATTTTAAAACTTGGTGCTTAACAGGCCAACCAAAGCTCATCTTATATATTATTAATAATTTTTATATATAAATAAGAACAATTTTAAAATAGGGTAAATTACATGAATTAGTCGTAATTATCATGACAGAGTGTTTAGTAATTATTGAATTAATTACATACAATTTAATTTTTTTGTCTACTGCGTTTGTGGCATGCGAGACAAATTTGAAGATAATAGAAACGTGAACACCTCAAATAAATGTCACTAAAGAGCTATTGTAGCTATGATTAGTGATATATATGGTTCAAAGTGTTGATGGATGATGGGCTAGTTCGGGAGCCAAATACATATGAATCAATCGGTTAAATATGTTTTACTTGGAGTAATTTTATGTTAGGTAACTTATTAGGAGCCTTCTTAGGATGCATGTGAATGAAGGCAATGATGCTGAAAGGATTTGTGTTAGTATATAGAGATAGTATTAGAGACAGAAGGTAACGTAATCATATGAGATGTAAAAGAATTTTGGGTCATCAAGCGTTGTAGAAGAATTTTGGGTCATCATGTGTCGAATTCGAATTTCAAATTTAGATCCAAATCTCGGACATAGAGAGTTAAATTATGTAAGTGCATAAGCTCACTAAATTTTACCTTTAAATAGAAATTTACATTATTTATTTATTTATGCATAGATAATTACAACTTGTGTTTCATTCAAAACCAACGTGAGAAGCATTCATATTTCGTAAAACCAAACCAAACCTAATCCAACCAACCAATTTATTATTATTAATTATTAATTATTAATCAATTAATCAATTAATTAATAATCATGATTATAAGTCAACATTAAAAGGCAGCCAGCAACTTGCAAACGGGATCTCGCTCTCAATTCCTATGAGAGGCTGGCTTTATTATAGTAATAATAATTATTAAGGTTGATTTTTTTATCATATTATTATTCTAAATACAATTTCAATTTTAACCCGGGAAATTAACGTAAATGACATAGTTAACCTAATCCTTTCAGCCTTTCCCTCAAAGTTTTTAAGACGCGATTGCTAAAGAGAGGTTTCCACACACTTGTAAAGAATGTTTCGTTCTCCTCCTGAACCAACGTGGGATCCTAGTGATAATAAACCAATATTTTCAAATTTCTTCATCGCTATTTTATTATATATATTCCTATTGAAGTATGAATATAAGATTTTGAGGTCAGCTAAGGCATACCCACGTGTACTAAATCCCATATTTTCATCCATAGCTAAACATTTTGAGGTCCTTAACGATGAACATCAATCCTTACAGTAACC